TGTTTGTTTTATTGGTTTTTGTTGCCATGATTTGGGGTCTCCAGGCTACAGCTGTTTTTTTGCATGCTGGCTTGTAGGCATATGTTTTGCACAATGATACCCAATGGGGGAAAATACAAATGTACTATGATATGTGAATGTGTTCATGTTTTACCATGGGAAATACGCATGTTTGATTCTGTGGTTTAGATTTGTGCTTCAACTGTTCTCAGGCCATGTGCAAACATGTGCACTGGGTAGAAGTAGAGCAGAAGGGTGTGAAACATGTAAACATCAAGAAATAAACCGAACATGGAAACATCAAAACGCCAAGTGGGCTGCCATAAGAATTGGGATGTGCTAGATGTCAAGGGAAATGTTACAAATCAGTTATGGCCATGGTTTCTTTGCCTTATGGTTTTGTAATTGATTTGCTTCGGTTACAATGGTCCATGAAAACCATCTACACCATAAAAACCCTGTACACATGTGGGGGAATGGTTTGCTTGCGTGGTGGGGTCTACAGTTATTGAATAGTTGTTTACAGATTCAGAATCAATGTTTCTACCCCTCATGTTTTTTACAGTGTAGGTTTTTTGTTGGTTGGTATTCATCCAGAAATCAATCCATTTGCAACCAAAAGCGCTAACATGGCCACTGTTTGGGTTCTTATCCGAATGTTCAGTGGTGACATGCGGATTGTTTGGTTCTTTGACATGTCGTCATTGAGTTCAAAATCAAACAAACTGTGCATTCAAGGGCTGGGTGTGGAACCTGATTGTGTTGATGTTTGGCCAGCCTCTTGGTCTGGCTGAACACAACTTACTGTTGTCGCTGCCAAGGGTTTGGCTGAAAAAACTGACAAAGTTGCAGCGGCCATGGTTTCCTTGCCTGATGATGATGCCTGTGGCATGGACTTGTTTGATGCCCCCCCGCGACTGGATGAACCAGTAGCCAAGCGGCTGAAGTTTTCACCGGAAACTGGTGAGTTCCTTGGCTTCTGAGACAGTTCATCCCAAAGCCTGTAGGTATGATCTTAAATGAGATTTTTCTTTACTTTGAAACTTGATAGACTGCAGTCTCGTAATGAGGAAAACACAACTCTTGGCTTCTACTTTCAGTTCATCTGAGGCCTCAATGTTGTGGCAAGCGCTGCGTGATGTCTTTGCAGGATGACCCTGGGGTGATGGCCCTTCGGGGCGCTTTGGATGCCATGGACAATGAAGAGAAGAACTCTACATTGATGGGTCTTCTGAAGCAAGCTGAGAAGAAGGACAGGGGGTATGGCTCAATTTCTAAATGTGTTAATTGTATTTAGTTGTGATCTGTTTGTTCTTGACTGTTTGAATTGAACCAAGTTTTTCCCATAAAGGAGGGTGGGGTGAACCAAGTCTATTTGCTGAAGAGCAATGTGGTCTGCAAACAGGCGTTTTGCTCTTTGCTCAATGTCAATTGCAAACGGGTTCTTTGGCTCAATAGCAGTTGGTATTTCATAGTTGTTCCAAGTTCCCTGTAGGATTGCAATGTTTGCTGAAAACTGTCAAAGCATGTTTGAATGAAATGGGACATGTCTTTCTCTTCTCTGTGTCAATGTTATATCCATGCATTTGAGCTATAATATATTATCTGTTGAGTTTGATCTAGTTTCCACAGCTTCTTCTAATCTGAGGTGGGCCGGCTGCTTCCCCATGTGGCTACTGGTGTGCCACCAACTGATCTTCGCCACATGAATGGCATGAAGAAGGTGGATGACTCGATGGGGAAAAAGTCAGTGGAGGGATTCCTTACCTTTTTGTACCATTTTGTGGTGCCTGGCCTGCAAGCTGCACAAGCTGTGAAAGATTTTGCTCAAAAGGGATCAAAAAGGGAAAATTTGGTGCTTGTTTTTTTGGGGAGATGGTTCTGAAACCATTGCTCAGTTATTAGGCAGAACCTCTTGCAGAGCATCCTGATGAGAATGACCCATACGTTCGCAGCCTGGTTGCCGCTACAGGTGTGGCCGGGTTGAAAATGTGTTTGGATTGAAGATTCTCAACCTGGTTGAAATACCTTGGGCTCCCTCATCTTGAAAATGTTTTCAACTATACCAATGTTTGGAGGCATGGTCGACAAGGAGGATCATGGTATTCCAGCGTCTCTTCTCAGCCCAGAAGATGGAGTGCATTGGGAGCACTTGCTGTCTGCCAATCCGATGGCCAAGGTGATCGGTGGTCTTGATGGCCTCTCACTTTTGTTTCCAAATCATTGTGTGTTTTTTTTAAATATTTTTTTTGACATGAAACTGTTTTTGTCCTGCTTGTGGACCACCCCCCAATTTGGTGTTCTCCTTTCTTGGAAATAATTGTTTATTGATGTCAGCTTAGGAAGCAGCCAGCAAAAACGGTTCCTTAACTGGATGACCTATGATGCCCTGCGAGCGCAATATGATCAGTGGTGTGAAGTTCATGAACTTGATCCATCTGATCGGGCAAAACGCACTTTGTTTGAGAAGGTCTGCAAGGAGTGGGGCAAGGTTTTGGGGTTCCGCAAAGTGGGCCAGCATGCTCGGTGCCTTGCCATTCAATGTGGCTTTGGGGGTATGTGCATGGGAGTATGGTATGTGGATGTTGTAAGATTTAAGTAAAGCATGATTTTCTCCAAATCATTGTATGCATTTTGTGGCTACACAGTAACATATCAAAATTCATTTCAGCTAAGTTCTTAGCACTGGGAAAGCAATGCTATTTTGAAATATCATGGGAACCTTGGGTACATGCCTGGCTGGTTGGCAAGGGTTTTCAACCTGGTGTTTTTGGTTGACATTCCTCCCATTGTTATGTTACATCATTTCACACCCCATGTATTGTGGAAAAGGTTGTTTGCTTTGCATTTCAGATCTTCCACAAATTCCGATTTGAGGGAACAAAGCCCAAAGGTTTTGTGTTGATGTTGAGATTCTCATGTTGATGCTGCAAGCCATTTATGGCTTCAATCCTCCACTGAAAATCTTGATGTGCTGAAGGGTTTACAATGGTTTGCACATATCCACATATATATATATACATATATATATACATATATATATATATATATTTAAAGATACTTTCATGTGTTTTAGACATCTTTCTGAACATCACTCTGTGCCACTTCTCGTTCTCCTGGAGCAGCCATGTCTGCAAAGCGGATTCCTGAGAACTTCTTGCAGGACAAGCATGATCGAGCCTGTAAACGCCCAAAGGTGCCTCCACCTCCTGAACTTCTTCAAAGGCGCAGGGAAGTTTCTTGGCTGTGCTTACTGCAAGAGTTCATTGGGTTTCCAAAAAAAAATGGCTTCAATTTTGTTTATGCCTGCTGTTGGGGTGTGTGGTGGGCATTTCAAACTTTACCAATCAAAGCATGTGAGGAAGGACTCCTGGTGTACTTCCGCAACCACGGCTATGATGAGCACTTTGCGCGCCAGCATGTGGATTTTCAGGACATGCTTTGCCAACTACTGCCAAATAGTTTCAATGTTTTTTGCCACGAAACAAGTGTACATAGATGGATTTTAATTGGATCCCTGAAAATGATTAAATGGCTTTATCTTTTGCGGTTTTTGCCACCATTTGCAGGAACTTGGTTGGAAAGAAGCCCGTGACCTTATCAAGATGTCCTGGGGCCTGATTCAGCAAAATGACCGTCTCTTGCATTTGCAACATTCTTTGTGCAAGAGTTTTTGTGCCTTTTGTGAAGCAAGATACCTCACGAAATGGCTGGGTACATCAAACCACATTCATTCACCAAAGCCTTCATTGGTCTTTGTCCGTCATACAGCTTGATTTGCCCCCAAAAGTTTAATCAATATGTATGCAAGACATTATGATTTGTATGTATATATTATGTAGATACATGCACATGTTGCTGAACATATGTTTATATATGTGTAGTTAGATATCACACCAAAAACATTGTGTCAGAAATTTCATATTTGCATGTTTGTTTATAACAAAAAGATTGTTTTGCTTGTCAATGCCTCTGTGGGCCCCAGGACTGGTTGAAAAATGCCTCAGCCTGCAAAAGAAGGCAGCGGATGCTGAGAACAAGGAATGGGAGTTGGAATACCTCAAGGGCAAGGTCAAAAGCATGGAGACCAGCTTCAGTGCAGTGCTGAATGTGGCTTTCCCGGCCGGGGATGAAACCTGGTTTGATGGATATCGAAGGGGCTTCCTAGATGCCCAAAATGATTTGGTTGCTGAAGGTGCTGCGACTCTTTTGGAGCCGGAGGAGGACCAGGAGACCAAGGTCAAGACGAAGGAGAGGGGTGGTGATTCAGAGTCTGAGGAGATTGAAGTGGAGGAGTCTCCTGGGTATGCATCCACAGCAGTGCCAGGAGATGATTCAGATGTTGAGTCGGGCTGCTGAATTTTAAGCTGGCAGTCGGTTTTGCTCCCGCTGACATGCCATTGTCCTGGAATGATGGTTTTGGTGTGGTTTGTGCGGAAAGTTTTAAGGATTGAAAATTAGCTCCACTGTGAGCTGATAGTTTTGCCTGCCTAGCCAGGTCACTTTTTCCAATTCTGACTCTGAAACTTTGCAAGTCTCCAGTGTGTGAGTGTGAAATGTGGTCAGTCTGTCCATCTGAAATCTATTTAGCGATATTTAGCGTGCAACTGCAAACATTTGATTCCTAGATTGAATTTGCTGTTGTGATGTGGTTGGAAATTATTGGGGAACATTCAAATCATAATGAAGAAATCAAGCATGGGGTTTCTGTGCTGCTTCAATGTAGGAGCCAATATAGGGATGAAGGTGTCCAACAGGTTACACATCACAACCTTTGTTATTATGTGATGTGTGCTATCTCTGTATTTTTCCCTTGGGATTTCAGCCATCATGGGGTTAAACAGAAACCAAGCTCTCTTTCCAAGGTCAGCTCTTGCTGGGGCTTTTAATTTTGTGACTTTCATGTGTGGTTTGGTGCCCATGCGTTCCTCAGGTGCAATGCCTGCTCGGAGTTTACTGAGCGCATCAAGACTGCCCGTGGTGATGAGCGAGCAGCTGTGATGAAGGCGCAGGAAGTCCACATCAACATGGTGCGCCAATACCGTTGTGCCCAGACCCGGATGAATCACATGTCTGAAGATGCCACCAAGCCTGGGAGAAAGGACAACTTTGATGAGTTCATCAAGATTGACATTGATGCCTGTGATGAGGCCAAATTCAAGTGTCCGCGGAACATTGCCAATGCCAAGAACCTTGAACGGCTTTGGAGACCACAGCTGCATCTCCATGGATCCTTGATCTGGGGTGTGTCTAGGTTATTGATTAAAATACTTTTGATATTCTGTGGGAAATTTGTCAGGAGGTTTTTGGGGATGAAACAAGGCCTGGATATCCTATATCTGGTATTTTTTTGATATAAAAATCGCACCACCAGGTTGCAGAATGCTACTACGTTATGGAGCCGGATATCCCCAAGGATGCCTCTACAGAAGCCACAATATTGTGCAAGGCCTTGGACGATGCAGCAGATCTACTCCGACAGCGATCTACTTCAATGCCAGGCAACCTCATACTGGAGGCCTGACAAAGTTTCTAAAGGACAACATATAAAATGTATAAAACATATATAATAATCTATCTATATTTAATTGTATATGTGTCCTACATGTGTCCAAAATATGATTCACATTTATCATATGTGAGTTTTCAACAAGACCCTGCAATCCTAATTTTCTTTGCTTGGCCCTTTGCAAACCTTGACGCTGCTTCACCCTGTCAGACTGACAATTCAGCACGAGAGGGGAAAAACCAGACCTTGGCATTGCACCAGAGTTTGATGGTAGCATCCCGAAAGTTGCTTGACAAAATGATGGTTTAATGGGTTCTATGGTTTGGTTGGTGTGTGTGTGTGCATGTGAGGCAGTTAATGAACAACACTACTTACTAGCTAGTCTGTGCAAGCACTGATGACTATTTTCTGTTTCTGCTTGTGCTGCAGCATGGGGGTGCGAGGTTCCGCAGCTGCCAACATTACTTCGGTGAAGTTGGTCATACCCATGGACCTTTGGATCAAAGGTATTCTGTTGTAGCAAGTGCCTTGGCCCAGTGCAACATACTTCAGTGCCCCAAGGACTGAACTGGACCAAAGTTTGGCCCCACATATGATGTTGGTTACCTCAAGGTTACAAGTATTGTTAATCTAAAGGAATCGTATTGTTACAAGTATTGTTACAAGTATTGTTCATCACTCCTTGGAGGACTTTGTTGAAGCTATTCGCCGGCTGGTGACACCGACCAGACACCGAAAGCTCATTGTGGAGGTTTTGAGCGGCTCCTTGAATTTCAAGCTGTACTTGGAAGGCTTGGATGTTGTGATCACAGGCCTCACTCCGAATCCACGGGGGTCCCAGCCCCAGCTGCACACGAATCATTGCTGGCGCTTTGTCCGCAGAATGGAGCCTTGTCTTGAACTTGGTTTTTTCCTTGGGCAGCCCTTTTGCTGTTAAATGCTGGGTAAATTCACTGTCATGTTTCTGGATGCTAAGCTTAAAATCATTTCTGTGTTTACACAACAATATTTTTCAGGTATGGTACCACCGGGCATTTTGACACTGTTGACTTCTATGTTTTGTTTGGCAGCCACAGTGCAAACATTTATTATGAGATGTTTGCACAATGGGACACCACTGGATTAACCGTGGGTTAGACGATAGGTCCCTTCAAAGGCTGTTTGCAGACTTGTCATTTTGGAGCCATGTATAACCCCTTTTGGGAAAAGAAGTGGGCATGATTTCATGTCAGTACTTGCAAGCTGGATTCTTATAAAGAATGTCTTGGACACAATCTCACGCACTAAAAAATATGTGGTGTTTGGGAAAGTTCTTTTGGGAATTTTTGGTTAGATGCCACCATAAATATATACATACACTATCATACACTTATAAACATGTAAAAAAAAAGAAAACATATTTTCCAAATTTAAAGATATTTATTTATGTAAACACTAGTAACTGCACATGTACTTTTTACATAGATTGCATTTGTCTGCAAAAGAAGAACTTTGATACTTTTGGGAATGTGGCTACTTCAGAGGTTCCTGTTGACAAACCGTACATTATTATTCATGTATGTGTTTATCTCCCAGCCCATTGACATTCAGTCAATGCTGTTGCCCCAGGACCTGCCGACCAATGACCATGATGGTGAAGTTCAGTGGGTGGTTGCGGAGTTTGGGGAGGTGTGAACTTGTTGAGTTCAAACCCGTTTTTGATGATAAGTTGCCAATTTGTGTGTTTGATTTGTTCTTTGTGTGTTGTTATTCTCCAAGAACATTCTTCAATGATGTTCAATTGTTAAGCTTTGTTCTTGAACATGCCATGCTAGAAAATGTGTTCTAAGTTCACAAGTTGAATCCTGAGCAGGAAGACCACAAGGACCCCATGGATGTGGTGATGCTCTGCAAGGAGTGGGTCCACTCAGCATCGTTGTCACAGCAGCCCTTGGTTATCTTGCCTGAGAGCTACATCAAAGTCTTGGAGAGGGCGCAGCTCACAACACTTGGCCGCAAGGAGTTGAGCAAGAAAGAATGTGAAGAGTTCCTTGGATGATATTTTTTAACCTCAAAATAAAGAGAAATTTCTGGTTTATTAGGATTGACTCAAATTCAATCCAAGGTTCATTCGGACGGCAAAGAATGTGGAAGCTGAGCCGTGGCACTTGAATGTGGCTGCAGCCTACTTGAGATCTTTCGTCGATTCTTCCCCCAAACTTGCACACTTTTATTTTTGTTTGGCTTTCCTGGCGTGTAAGCTTTTAAAGCTCTTTTCCCATGAAAGCACCATTCATTGGAGATTTTGTTGGGCTTGTGGTGCCTCTGGAAAGGACAACAACCAGCAGCAAAATTTCCCAGCAGCTGTGATGCCAGTGTTCTTCTTCAACCATGTGCTGGATGAGAGGATTCCATCCCCAGAGGGGTGACTATGCCAAATTCTGCTATTGTTCCAAGTTTTTGTTTGAAGTTTTAAGGATGTTGTTTTGGGGAATTTTTAGTTATTTCAAATTCCTTTTCAAAGATTTCCCAACCAACAAGCCAAGGTGGCGGAAATTTGCCCCAGGCCCTGTGCGTTTGATTTCGGCAGCTGGGCTCCAGGCTGCACAACGGGTGCAGAATGCAGCAAACCAGAAGCGGCTTCGAGATCGTGCCCGAGCTGTTGCTGCTCCTGTGCGTGGCAATGCTTTGCCTCTTCCTCCTCCAGTGGAAGGGGATAGTGCTGATGTTGGGGATGGGGGTGATGGTGGTGATGAAGGACCAGTGCTTCCAGGAGGCCGTGGCCTGGGATGTACCAAGTGCCGATTTGCAGCTATTGGCTGCAAGCAATGTCAGAACCCACGCTACACTCCTCGTGGGAAGGGTCGTGGCAAGGGGGGTCAGCCTCAGCCCAAAGCTCAGCCCAAGGCTCAGCCAAAGGCTAAGGCCAAAGGTCGTGGGCGTGGTGGCCGTGGACGTGGCAGGGCAAACTCAGCTTCTTGACTTTTTCTTTTATGTAGGGGAACTTGATGATGTGAAAAGCTGGTTTTGGAAATGACCCATGGGCCCATTAACCAATCATGAACCAAAAAGGAAATAACCCATGAACTATTGTGATGTGTTTTGCTTGCACAGATCAGCTTGCCAGCCAACACATCTGTCATGTGGGGTAGTTTTGTGAGAAACATCATGTTTCAATGCACCGGGTTCGGTTGTCAAGGGCGAAGCAACCTTTGACTGACCAAAATGGCGAACATCTTAGAGTCTTTGTGGTTTGAAACTGTTTGCTGTGAGCGGGGCTGCTGATTTGAAGGTTTGAGTTTGAAGGTTTCCGATGGGTTTTCAATTCTGTTTTGTTGAATGCTTGTACAGTGCTGATTCATTGTTCTGGGTTGGGGGCTTGGACTCAACACATCACTTTTACAAACAACAGGCGCTTGGCCCAAAGCCAGTGCAAAAACATGTCAATTTTGCCCCCCGATGATGATGGGCTTGGTTTAGATGATGCCTTTGCGCAACTGCCTCCTCCTTTGACACCTCAGCCAAAGTCAAAAGCAAAGGCAAAAGCCAAAAGGACACCGAAACCACGTGCCAAGTCAAACAATGATGGTGTCAAGAAAGCTAGGAAAACCAAAGCGAAGGAACCTGAGATGGATCAAGTTAGTGGAGATGTGCAACCAAGTGGTTCAAGTGGACCTGCAAAAGTGAAATCGGAAGCTGGGCAAGATTACTTCCACCGTGCTACTACAATTCCTGGGCAGTGCTTGGAATGCAGCTAGCCTTACACCAACTTGTTTTAATCTCTTATGGTCATGTTGGGAACTCGATGAATGTTATTCTTTTGGCTGTGCAAGCCATTTGTCTTGCTAGGCCCTCGATCCCATTTGCGGACATCCAGAAGGTCATGGAAAATCTGGCTTCTGTGAACAATGATCGCCGGTGCCATTTCTGGGAGATCTTCAGCAGGCCTCGCATAGCTCCAGTTTGTCGAGATCTGGGTATGCGCTCACTTCGCAGCATCGATGTTTCTTGGCCAGCTGCCTGTTTGTATACTTGTTTGTGTTTTCATGGATGAAAAGATTGGGCTTGGTTTACTTAGATTAGATATTCAGCAATGCAGCAAGCAGCCAGTCCTGTTTAAGGTAGACAATTTCTGGGACTTGAGAGACCCAGCGATTCAGCATATGCTCCTCAGCGACCTCACAGTTTTGCAGCCTTTCTTTACAATGCTGAGCCCTCCGTGCACCCACTTGTGCCAATATATGTTTTGCAATTGGGGCAAAATGGATCCACTCACAAAGTATGAGCTCTTGCACCAAGCCATTGGGCACATTGATGTGACTTGTTGGGTTGCGATGGTTCAAGTTGCAGCCAAATCCTACTACTGCATTGAGAATCCGGAGGGATCCCAAGCATGGAATCGCAACAATGCATCTTGACTGCCAAATTTTGTTAAACGTTTTTTTGCCTTCACTTACTATGTGGGTGCTTTATGGTGTCCACCAATGACTTGGGCTTTTTGTGGTGAACACAATTTGAAAGATATCAAGGTCAAACAATTGCCGGGCATGCAGAAGGTGGTCTTTGACCAGTGCCGATATGGTTTGGTGTCCCTTGAATCCAAAAAGTTGATCAAGAAGCCAACGGTGTTTGCCACGAATTGCCCGGCTATCGTCAGGGAGTTCTCTGGCAAACGTTGCACCGGGGATCATGACCATCGTCGACTTGAAGGATCTGAAGGTGGCCAGCGGCGCACCAAAGCAGCTCAGGTTTATCCGGAGCAACTTTGCATGGCAGTTGCCCGGTGTGTCTTGAGTCAGTGGCAAGCTGACAACCCAATCAATAAGTGAATGGGTCCAAATGTCTACGTGGCCAAAATGTGCCAGAGTTGATACTTAACTGATACAGAGCTGGGGACCCCAATTCCTGCAACATTGGAGAAAAAGTGAAATCTTCAGAACTCAACATCTCAAAATCAAACATTGAGATAGGAGGTTTTCAGCTGAAAACTTCGGAACTTACTATTGGAAACCAAAATCTTCAGAACTCAACATCTCAAAATCAAACATTGAGTTCTGAAGATTTTCCCTCCCAATTTGAAGTTAGGAAGTTTTCAGCTGAAAACTTCGGAACTCACCCTTTCAAATTCAGATTTTGAGTTATGCAGATTTTTTTCAAAATCTGCATAAATCTGGGAATTCAGCATTTGAAGCATTTTCAAGGATTTTGGGACAATTTACAAAGAGCAAGAAAAACACATATTTAGGGGGAACTTCTATACATGTAACAACTAGCAACCCGAAATGGTCCGACGGACAGAAAGGTTTTGGGGCATGAGATCGGAAGTTTTCGTCCGAAATCTTCGGAACTCGGGGACCCGAAATACCCCGACGGAAATCTGAAAGTGTCATCACAATTTGAATTTCTCAATTTAGAAAGGTGGGGGTTGAGGTGGCTATTGATTGGTGATGCATATTTTGCAGCATTTTCAGGGTGGCAATTCGTGCTGAGAGCCAGCTTCATCCAACCAGCCTGGCTTTCAGCTCCATGGAATTTGCCATGGAGGAAACGCCATTTGGAGGAATCAATGGTGTGGAAAATGGTTCAATGGCCACGTTAGACTGGAGAGACCATCATTTGACAATATGAATGTTTTCTTCTTTGCTTTCCCAATAATTTTAAGTTAGGATTCCAAATGTTTCCAGGGTTTTCTGGTTTTCCTGCCAAAATTTTGGCCACATGTTTTTTCCTGAGGATCTTGATGAGGCACCTTTTCCAGATGGCGCAAGCACTGTGGCCATGTCAGACCAAGTGCCTCCTTCGGACACATCTACAGCTTTGGACCAATGGGACCTGGTTACACATACCTCTGGAGATGCTCAGGACAAGAATGAGAAGTTGGCAAATGTCGTCTACAACGAGATCAAAGGCCAAAAAAGAATTAGACATAATGTTGATGTCTGTTACCCTTGCTTTTCCAAAGTTGTATTTGGCAGTCATGTGATTTAATATGATTTAATGTTGAATGTAGTCCCTGGGAGGTCATGGTGGTCCCAGGCAGTATCTTCAAGCGATGTATTCTAATCAAGCTCTCCGTCATGAGTTCTATGTTTGGGTGGCGTCTGAGATTGGGGTGGATCCGACCATCATGTATGCCGGGAAGTTTCAAGATATTCCAACGGCCAAGCCAAAGGAGGAGGGCAGTGTGGCACCTGCGTGTGTACCACTACAGCTGTTCTCTTTTTCTGATGATGCTGGGTTGACAGGGGCGCCGGAGCTGGAAAAGGCTCGTCTTCTTCTTCACCTTCTGTGCGCCTATGGGTTTGAAACTGTGGATGAATCTGTCAAAGTTCGCTTTCCAGCACCTTGTCTCAAGTGCTGATTTGGGTTGTCCATGGTTGTCTATTTCCAAGAATTAAAAACAAACATATTTTGTGCACATTGATGAACATGAATAAAATCAAGTGGGGGTGATCACATTCAAAAAAGTTGACAATGATATTCCAAAAGAAACAAATTGATACACATAAAACATAATTATTTTCTATTTATGAAGAATGTGTTGGCCTGATTTTATTTATATATATATATTATTTATTTATTTATTTGATCTTAAAAAAAATCCAGGCCAAGTTATTTGATATATACAAGCAAATACATGAAATAGAGACATGTCAAAAACCAATCAACAAAAATGGTACTGAATGGTACTGCTTCTTTTGGAGATGTGCAGGCACAGTGGAAGCCTGAAGATGACATCGCTGAAGGGCAACTGCTTTTTCTCAAAGGGCAACTGCGGATCTTGACAGTTTTATCTTTGCTGGCTGTGGTCCACCGACGCAAAGCTACGTTGAGTGAAGCTACTTGTCAAAACATGTCAAAGTCAAGTTGTAAGGGGGGAAGGTTGCCATATATGTGTTCCCATGTCAAAACAAGATTCCTTTTGCAGTGTACTTATCGACATGTATGTTCTTGATGTGGTGCCAGCTAACCCTGGGGCCAAGGTGCATCCGACTTTGCAGCAAACCTTGCAAAAGGTTCGGTGTGTCCATGTCGAGCTCACCAATCGCAAGGAGGAGTTGTTTCTGGGCTGATTTTACAAGTTCCTTGTGGTGTTTGGGTGTGGGAGCCTTTATATGTTGTTTTTGAAGTCCAGCCATTGGGGATGTTATCTGAGGTTTTACAACTTCAAGGTGGCTGTGAAGGGGAACATCCGCACAGCCCCATCTGCTGTGACTTGGGTAAATAGCCTGCTGGAGCTTTCGAAAGCAGGGGACCGAGATTTGCAAGGGACCCTGAACTCATGGAATACCCAGGCTCCCAAACCTGACAAGGTTCAAGGTCAGAAGTATCTTACTGTCAAGAACCTCTTGGACCTTCCTCCAGAGTGCCGCAACGTGATGTTTGCTTACATCAACAAGAACGGATGGGATAGTTCCTTGTTTTACATTTCAGTTCCCACATGCACATGTGGATACAAAGGCCTGGGGACCTTTTGGGGCATTTTCAAAAAAACTGAGGCTCACCCTATAGTGAAGATTTGCTGTCGAGCAAGAAGCTTTTGGTGAACTTCAATTTCAAGACGACCAAAGTGCCTAAAACCTCACCTTGGGCAGGGCATTGGGCAAAAGTGAGCAAGGATGCTTTGTGCCTGTGGGTCCAGTGCTTGAATGCCAAATGGGATCGAACTTCCAAGCCGGGTAGAAGGCAACCCACCAAAGTTGAGGGTGAAACTCTCCTTGAGCAATGTTACTTGGTTTTTTTAAGGTGCAATCTAGGTACATCACAGTCAACATCATACTGACACAACAACTCCCCCGTTCATGTGAGGTTGTTTGGCCATGGGCTTCAAGAATGACATTTGCATCATGGCCCCGAAAATGGAAGATCTTGTTGAGTCGGAGTTTCTTGGACTGTCAATCATTGACAAGTGTCGTCTTGCAGCCTCACAAAATCTCACAAATATACAATATTGGTTTGAATCTAGGGTGGATGACTCGAATCCGGGAGGCAGATCCGACTGCCTTGGCTGAGCTTTCCAATGCGGTGTCAGTGAAGGATCAGAAGTACACCGTCAGGGACAATCCAAGTTTCCAAGCTGAAAAGTTTAAAGTTGGTTTGATGACATTGATTTGCTGAAAAGTATAAAAATAGTGAAGCTGAGGTTTGAAAACGATCCTGGACAACCATGGCCAAGTCAGTGACAAGGCTGAGCCAGGAAAGCCGGTGTCAGCAATGGTTGATCTCATGGATCAGAAACAAAAACAAATTGACAAGTCCAACTTGGAACTTGTGATGAATGAGCTTTCTTTTGACTTGGAAAGTTTCAAAGTGTACCGCCAGAAAGTTGTCCAGTGCATGTCCAACCGGGCGCGTAAGATTCAAGATTGGAAAGGGCAGGTTGTTCAAGATGCTCAGCAAGCTGCAGATCACTACATGTCACTGCATGCAGCTTGCCCTAAAATTGGCTTGGTGATGTGTCATCTGCTTGTATTCCATGTATGTTTCATGTGCTGCTTATGTTTCATTTCTATATTCTATGTCTGTGTTAACACTCCTATTCTAAGGTAACGTTGAAGACATGGGCAACTCAAGACCCTGGTGCTGCTGCCATCACCGATGTCAAGAAGGATGTGGCACAACGTGCACGTGCGCTCCAGGTTCCCGAGGATGGCAGTGTGACTTGACAAAATTTATGTTTTTGGCTTGGCACAAATGCTGTGAGTTGTTTGATATTGAGTTGTTTCAAACTTTTTCCCCTTTAAGGTGATCATCTCCCTGATGAACTTGTCAGCACCAGCTTTGGTCAGTGCAAGCCACATGCCTGCGATCATGCATGTTGTTGGGTACCTGTGCTCCGACAATGTGAAAAATTTGGCTTTGGCTCTCATGCCTGTCTACAGCTACACCCGCAACTATCTTTGGAAAGAGGAGGCCACAGTGATGGAATGGATTTCTGGAACCCAAGCTCAATGTGACAAGCAGTGGTTTCTCCAATTTCTGAAGAAATGCGTTACTTGGCAAAAAAAACATGACAGAATGCGGTTTTAGTTCTCAGGTGTGGTTTCCAGGACTGTAGGGGTGGGGTCCTGCTTTGCTTTGTGGCATCCAGGGGTCAAGTTGGATCATGTTGGATCTCATGGTTGTGATTTCAATTCAGTGTTGGGATGAAGCAAAGCAGTGAGGGAACTATTTGCTTTGATGTATCCTCAAACGGGTAAACACTATTGGGCCAAGACATGTAAAATCATTTACCAATATTGTATATCATTCGCAGGATCTGGGGTTGAACATATTCATTGTGCAAATACATTTGCATGCATATATGGGGGTGAACCATTGATTTAGATGTCATATATATATATAGATTATGCATGTGTTTTGGATAGTGCATGTCTATCAGGAAAATATTAAGGATTTTATGTAAATACTCCTCAGTGTTTGTTGTGATTGCTTCTGGCCTAAGGACCTCCGAGATGAACGGCCACTCATCTACCCTGGACGTATCTTGGTGCCGGGTCAAGTGCAGGCACCCAAAATGTTTTGGAAAAAGTCTGCCTTGTTCACAGATGGCCGGACTCAACAGGCCATCCAATTGTCAGGGAAGGACATGCGGGTGATTGAGAGGGTGGGTGAAGGGCAATTGCCTTCGTCGACAGATGCTGATTGCACAGTCCGGGGTGCTATGAAAACTGCTCAGATCGGCCCTGATGCGGCATCCAAAATCTTCAAGTTGTTGACAGAGATTTGGCTGAAAAATATACTTGGTGAAAACAAAATGTTGAATAGTGTTTCACAGTTTGCACCTACTCTTGTGTCACATCCATTCAGGATGGCATGCAGTTCTCAGCCCAAGTTGTCCTGGAAATCATGGACTTCGTCCCAGTGGTGGGGAACAGCTTTGAGGCATTTTGCTATATTTTGTTTATATCATGTGGCACAATGACTGAGAATCATTTTTGATTGGCGCATTTGTCTCCAAAACTGTGGAATAATTTATGTGATTTTCTGGCCTGTGCAGGGCTTTCTGGACATGCAGCAGAGCTCCAACTTTCCCTGCCACCTGACTATGTTTTGGCCTGATGAGCAAACTGCCGAGTGGTTTGAGGTGACAGCTTCTGAGATTTTGCGCAACAAGTTCCGTGAGGGATGCTTGAAAGTCCCTGGCTTTGACAGGACAGGGCTGGGTCTTGGGGGGCATGTGGGCTCGCTATGTCTATGAAGTTCAACTTTTGCTGAGTCATGGGGGAAAAATGAATGGAACCAAAGTGTGTATGATGGGATCTTCTGTGCATGACTGATCTTCAATGATATGTTGTGTGGGCGAATGATTCAGGTAGTTTTTTGGCTCAACAATGCTCAAAGTGTTGACACTGCACTTCGTTTTTTTTGATGCTTTGCAAGTTGCAAGGTGAGTGGCATGCACAACAATGCATCAAAAACCAAGATGCAATACACATTGCAAGCATAATGAACTTCAGCACCAGAAAACAAAATGCAATACCTGCTATGTCTCAGCCTGCCCCACATGCCGTCTCATGGTCAGTGCGGGGATTTGCAGGTCCCCCGCAAGTGTCTCAGCCTACTGCAGCTGACCCTGAGCCCAACCGGTTGCACACTGGAAAGAGGTGGCATCCGAACCCGCAGAACCCTCATGAAGTACAACTACGCAAAAAGATTGACATGAAATGGGAAAGAGAGAAGCGTCGTAGAAAAAAACGACGGGAGGAAGCTGCAGCTGCTGCAACATCTAAACCAGCTGCAACAGCTGAAGCAGCTGAACCAGCTGCAACAGCTGAAGCAGCTGAACCAGCTGCAACAGCTGAAGCAGCTGAACCAGCTGCAACAGCTGAAGCAGTTGCTTCTTCTTCTTCAAAGCCAGATCCAGTGCCCTTGGCGATCCAGGAACAGAAGCCGAAGATGATGGCCAAAAAAGAGAAGAAACCGAAAAAGGAAAAAAAACACAAAAAAGAGAAGGTTCGTCCTCTTATTCAAGTGAAAGAAGAACAAGAAGATGATGATGTGAAGCCTGGTGTTTCTGAAGCGTTGTGGAAACAGGGTGAGGAGTGGGCGGATGAACTGACGAAGGAGTGGTTGGCCCAACCAGCCTGTGATGAGGAGGAGAAGAAGTTCAAAGATTTCTGTCGTCGAAAAGATCTGCAGCAGGTTATGCCTGATGATCAAAGTGATCCTGCTTTGATTCTTGTCAGCATTGGAAAGAAAAGTTTACTGGGTCATCGTTGTTGTGTGCAAATTTCTCATGTATTTTTTATGAAGGATTACTGTGTTTCAAATGTTTGTCGCTGCCATGTGAGGAACACGTCTGAACTGTCACCGGGAAGTGCTGCTACTGCTTCCAAAGGACCCTGATCTCAGCCAGTTTCAAATTGATGTGTTGCATCCACTTGTTTTCTCATGTAGCCCTTGATGTCTCAATTTTGAAATGCTCTTTTGGTATGTGACACACTGGTGAGGACGATAATTTGAAATGATTTGATGACCATCTTCTCTGATGATGCTTGGGCTTTATTATATGATATTCCTTTCATTCTCTGTGACCTGTGCACTCTGCTGTATGGGCTTTTCATGTTGTTTGTTTCGCTGTGGTCTAGAGTTTAGATGTTAAACTGAAAGAATGATTGAACCTCCTACTGAGGAATCTGGTGGGGTCTGTGGCCATGATGAAGTACCTCACATTTTGATGCGATGTGCGTGCAAAAAGTGCTGTGCGTTGTGCAATGGTGGATCTGCTTGCTGGCTGCCAGCCACAAGGTCTGGCAGCCAGCCTGCTAAGTCATCTGTGGCTGGATGCCAGCCGCAAGGTCTGGCAGCCAGCCTGCTAAGTCAGTTGTGGCTGGCTGCCAGCCGCAAGGTCTGGCAGCCAGCCTGCTAAGTCATATGTGGCTGGATGCCAGCCGCAAGGTCTGGCAGCCAGCCTGCTAAGTCAGTTGTGGCTGCCTGCCAGCCGCAAGGTCTGGCAGCCAGCCTGCTAAGTCAGTTGTGGCTGGCTGCCAGCCGCAAGGTCTGGCAGCCAGGCCAAAAGTCATTCTTGTCTTGTTTGTGGCTGGCTGCCAGCCACAAGGTCTGGCAGCCAGGCCAAAAGTCATGTTTGTTTAGTTTGTGTGTAGTTGATTGTGGTTTTTGCATGTTGTGCCCCTGCAGGAAAGCTGATGACCCGCCGGAGCAGACCATGGATCCCTTGCCAACTCTACCTGATCTGAAGCGATTGGTCTTTGTCAAGGACTGTGTGTGTGTTGATGTGCATGTATGTTTAGTGATGTTCAGTGCTTTCAGTCTACTCATATTAGTGGCAAACACAAACAAACATTGGGTTGGCATATGATTCATAACGTTGTGTATTTATATGCATTTATCTTGGGTGGCATGGTTGAACAAAGAATGAACAAAGATTAGGGTGTCAAAGACTATGCGTGTTTATATATCTATCTATTTCTGGGGCATGGATAAAACAAAGATTGCAGTAGATTTGCGGTTTCAATTTTCATAGCCTGATTCTTGCAGGATGAAGATGGGGTCGCAGTGACGCCTGGGATCCCTGAGGCTTTGCAGCAACAGTGGTCCCACGAGCCGGCTTTCAAAAAATTCCATGAGGACTTGATCGATGCCTTTGGAACTTTGGAGCAGGCGGCTGCCAGCCCTCTCAACAAACGAGCTGCCGCTGCTTCTGGGGATGAGCGATCGGCCAGCAGGCGACGGGTTGTTGGCCCTGATGGCATCTGCAAATTGGAGGATCTCAAGGGTGAGGAAATCCACAAGGTGGGGTTGGAGTTGGATCATTTTGTTGTGACCTTGACGGCCTTGACTTGATTTTTGACTTGCTTCAGCAGGTTGTCGTGCAAAACATCCGAACTACTTCGACTCCGCCCTACTTGACAGTTCGCAGTGGGTCAGTGCTGGCATTGGTGAATGAAGGGGATTGCTCTGTTTCTTGGCATTGTGCTGGGATAATGTTGAAAAATATTGTCACCTGTATTTTTGTTGATGCCTGCAACCTTGACAAGGTCAGAGTGCAACTGCATGGGTTGTGCATGGGATTTGGCCGTGGCAAGTTCAGGGAGATCAAACCTGATGATGGGACGGAGACTGGCTTCAACCCAGAGAAGGAGGTTGCCTTTCACCTCAAAGATTCTGGTGACCTGATCATGATTGAAAACAAGGTCACCACACTCTTGGAAGCGGTGAATGCCCGTGCCCATGCTTCTGGCCAAGCTGCGGTCTCCTACCATAGCATCACGAAAAAACCTGGTGAAGATGGCTTTGTCTTGAAGCAGGACAAAACCTTTTCTACCCTTTTTACATTGAAATGTTGTTGAACTATATGTGCATCTTGGGTTTTAGAATGAATTTTTAATGTTTGTTGCATTTATCACAAAAATTTTATTGGCCACATTCATTGGCTGTGTGAAGGACCAGCAGATCGCCTTCAAACCTGATGAACTTGCAGGGCAATCGAGCGCTGGGATCACTCAGAACATGGGTGCGCTGACCATGCCGTGTGGTCATTGGAACACCAAGATGACCCAAATTGTGTGGCAAGCCCGTTGGACCGTGAATGGCTTGACTCCAATCCGCCCAGTTGTTGTCTGGAGTGTTGACTATACTTTGGATGGGAAGAAGTGTTTGCTTATTGAGTAAGTGGCAAATTTGACGGGGATCTAGCAGTCTACGAGGGTAAGCGGCTGCTGATCTGGGAAATGAAAGGTATCTATTATATATATATATAGTTTTTACAAGAGTTGAAAACTTGTGGTGTTTCAAAACAAGAACTGAATTATACTGTGTGTGATCCTTGGCTGATGCAGCTGCATGTTGACTGTGCCACTCTGTTTTCCGGAGTTTGTCCAAACCCCGTGCGAAGGTTCACGGGCCTCTTGACTTTTACTTCTGCGAGATTTCTTCTCCACCGGTCACCAAAGATG